CTTCAGGGCTCCAAGTAGCTGGGTCATTGCCGCAAATAGTCACCGTCACAGCAGGCCCCATGGTTACACACAAAAGGTGACACAGCCAAAATGGGACAAACGCTGCCAAAAGTACCAGCAGTGCAAAACGTAGAGCTACTGAAAAGCTCAGACCAGGAGGTCATCACACCCCGAAACACCATTAAAGCGTTATTAAAACCTTAACTTTTTATAACTAGGAGTGCCAGAGGTACTTCAATTTCCACGTATTTTTGGTAACCCCCAAACTGGCAACACCCCCCCATGTAGTCAGTCTATGCATCCATTGTTCAGCAGGTTGTCCCTGAACCTGGTACTAGGATAGTCGCCCCCTGTCGCCGGGATGGGCTCCAGCATAATCTGGTAATTGACCTCCCAGTGTATACGAGTATATCTGACCAATCCCTGGAGGGCAACTCTGGTATGGCTGGGGAAGATAATACTCGGGAGCACCCCTCCAGAACCCTCCCCTGGGAGGAGGCCTTTGTGTTTGCAAGATGTCTGGCCTGGGCATCAGCATGTGGCATGTGCTGGGGGCTCCAAGAGGCCGAACTGGAAGGATCCGCTTACCGAGGAGCGTCAGGGGAGCTGCCATTTGGATACTGTAAGATTTTTTTTACTTTAGAGAAGCCAGCTGGTGCACTACAAGTACCAAAACTGCTCAGGGCTCAGTCACACGAGATGCAGTGGCCCGTAGCCACGCCCTCCAGCCGCACAGGATCGCAAGGCACATTGTGCCTGCGGTCCGATCAAAATGCTACAAGCACTATTTTGATCGCATCGCACAGGGCCAGACAAAGGCACAATGCAACTCGCGATCCCATGCGGCGGCTCGCTTTGTGGCCGGAGGGGCCGGGCAACGCGCCCTTTACCCAGGCCCGCCACGCCCCCTCCTACCCCACTAAAAAGTAAAGCCGGCCGCAATGCGAGGCAGTGCGTTCCAGCCAAAAATCGGGCCGGAACGCACTGCATCTAGTGCGACTGTGCCCTCAGAGACATAGGCTTATCCTGGCTGCTCTCTGCTCAAGAATATCTTTCTACGCTCTCATTAGGACCCGTTGCCATTGCTGCCAGGGAAGACCCCTGTCCTCTCCTTGTTCTTTCTGCTATCCTGCAACCCAAAAACCTCTGAATACCCAGCAATACTAAGACCCTAAAAACTCCAGGCTGCTCATTACAAGGGCCGGTGTTATAGAGCT